TTTCATTTTCATTTTCATTTTCATTTTCATTTTCATTTTCATTTTCATTTTCATTTTTATTTTCATTTTCATTTTCATTGTTATTATCGTTGTTATTGTCATTGTCATTATCATTGCAATTATTATTGTCATTATTACTGTCATTATTATTGTCATTATTATTGTCATTATTATTGTCATTATTATTGTCATTATTATTGTCATTATTATTGTGATTGGCATTGTCATTGTCAATACTATTGATTTTATTATTGATTTCAATTTCATCACTTTTTGAAATACCCATACCAATTTTAACTCTATCACCTATATTATTTGTTGGTAATTTATGAAAACCTTGTAAAAATAATTCTTTTATAAAATTTTGAGAGTTTGGACACCAAATATTATATAGTTTTGAAAGGTTGATGTCTTTTTTATGCAGTAAATCGAGAATATCAAGTATTTTATCGTATTTGCCAAGTTCTATTGATCTGGTGATTAAATTGTGGTAGGAGTCAAGTCTAAATGAAGCTTTTGCATAATAGAGTTCTGGTTTTCTTAAAGCTCTCTTCACCAAATCTAAAATGAATATATCGGAATCCTTAATACTTCTTTGGAAGGCATCAGATAATTTACCCAAGTAAAATTTTTTTTTGCAACATCCCATAAGTTTTTCGTACTCTCTAATTATTTGTAGATTTGGTACATATTGCCAAAAAATGTTTTTTTCAACAAAAAATAAGTTTTTGTAATCATCATAAAAAAACTCTAATATATTTGGGGACTCGATTACTTGAATGACTTTACTTGGATTTGTTTCGAAATGGCGTTTAAATATACTGATTTTGAGTGCTTCTTTAATAATAACTAGATCTTGTGTTTTTAAAATTAATGATAAAAAACCCCAATTGCAAGCTTGATGATAGTTGAGTAGGTCTTTATTAATTAATTCTTTTTGCTCTTCTTGAGATCTACATGCTTCAAATATTTCTTTTGCAAAAATTGCTACATCAGAGGGATTTCGAAGGGCTCTAAATATTTTTCTTTTATTCTTAAATTTTAATATATACTCAAATGGTTTTTCCATACATTTGAAATAAATACAAACATATTTTGAAACAATACTTTTTAATTCTTTAAATTCTAAAAGTTTTTGTTCATGAAACATTACTGCTTCTAAATTTTCTCTATTGTTATAGGTTGTAGTAGTAGTAGTGGTTGTGGTAGTATTATTATTATTATTATTATTATTATTACTATCTTCTAAATTGGGTTCTTTTTTGATTTTATCTAATTTCATTAATTTCTTTCTTCCTCTTGTTTCAATTTTAATCCTTTCAAATGGTTTTATGATAAACGGTTGTTTAGCTAAATCTTTGAAATCTGAATTTAATTGCTCTTTTGTAAAGGTATATAATACTTTTAAATCTATTAATCTTTCATGAAAAGATTTCTTACTATTATTTGTTTTGATTGGTCTTTCTTCATTGTTGCCATTATTGTTTGGGTTTGAGGTTGGAATGGTTTTGTTAATTATATCTCTATTATTAACAATAGCATCAACTGGTGTAATTAAAATATAATTATCATTATTGATATCTTCTTTATTAGCTTTGTTTTCATTATCATAATTTAATAGGTTTTTTATTTTTGGTTCGGTGATGTTTTTAACTTTATTTGTATCCATGGCAACTATATCTTGATTATATATATATTTTACATCATCATAATAATTATTTTTATTATTATTATTATTATTATTATTTTCATTTGCAATAGGGTCATATATTTTCAAAATGTTATTGTTATCATGTTTTAATACAAAGGAGTTATTATTATTTATTATGATTAGAAATTTATTATCTATTTTGATTATATTTAAATGTGAGAGTATTTTACAAGTTTTGATTAAACTTTTAAGTTTGAATGGTGTTTTCATGATGTCAAAATGTATGAATGGCACACGGGTTATTGATGGTAGCAGCTGATTAGAATACAAATTATAAAACATTTTGAGATTTCTATAGGTGTCGATGGTATTACAAAATTTTTGAATGCATTTGTGAACGGTTTCTTTGTCTACATCAAATACTTTAATAAATATTTGAAGTGCTAAAAAATTTGAAGATTTTAAAATTGAATCTATTGAACTTTCTAAAAATACAAAGTGTTTTGAATAGTTTTTAAATAGATTTTCATAGAACTGTGTATTTCTTGGGTCTGATGCTTTTCTAATAGTTTCATAAACTTTTGAGAATTCTTCGACCTCAGGTGTTCGGGAGAATACTAAATGTGAGCCACATTTCACTTTGTCTCGTAGGATTTCGAGACCATTTCTATAACGGGACAATATTTTAGGTACAAAGTCGATGTAGTCGTATCCATGGGATAATTTACAACTATAATTTGAAAATATCTTTAAAAATAATATTTTATTTCTAAAAATTAGCCAAAAAAGAGTTTCTAGTGTATCTACATTTGCATTGGCTAGTTTGGGTTTGGTTTTATTAAATGGATTGATTTCCTTGAACATGTTTTTTGCTTCTTTGGTGATTTTTGATTTAATTGATAAATGATTATCAATTCTATCAAAGATATTTTTTTTTAAACCTTGTTTTGATAAATTTAAACATTCACATATTTCTCTTAATTCTGGTAGTGAATATTGTTTAATGTTATATTTCTTAAAATTCTTATATTTTAGTGTTCTATAAGGATTGTGTGCTTTATTTATATTGGTATCTTCTTCTTCATCGCCATCTCTTTCTTTTCTTTTGGACATTTTATTTTATATTAATTTATTATGTGCGTTTGTAAGTAAATGGAAGTGCCACAGCAAAAAAAAAAAAAGAATTTTAAAAAAAAATTTTAAAAAAAAAAAAAAAAATTTTAAAATTTTTTTTTTATTAGAAAATTTATTTATTTTTTGAAAAAAAAAAAAAAAGATTTTTTTTAAAATCTTTAAAAGTTGAAAATGTTTTTGATCAACCAACATATATTTTTTTATTTATATTTTTTTTTTTTTTTGTTATTTATATAAAATGGTAATTTATAGTTATATTTTTTTTTTTAATATGCACTACTATTTTAAAATTTAGGTTTATATCTCAAAAAAATAAATCTAAAACATATATTTATTTTATTTTATTTTTTGGGTTTAATAATATAAAATAAGAACAATATTATATAATTTTTTAATATAGAAATCATATCCTAAAACAATAATTTTAAACATCACTTATTAGTGATTTAACGATCACTTTTCTTATTATTTAATAATTTTCCAATATCATACAGTTATGATTTTTATTTTTTTTATTTTTTTATTATAATTGTTTTAAATTTATATTATAATTAATTAATTTGGTCTATAGAAATATTGATTGGTCTAATTGTGCCTGGATCTTTTTTACCATTTAATGGAGGGTGAGGTTTTTCATATTCCTTGATTGCTCCAATAGTTGATTTAAATTTATAAATTGTTGCTGTTGTTGTTTTGATGGTGAATGAACATTAAAGTTTAATGGACTTCTTGAAGTGGTGAGTTTTGATATTCCCTAATTTGATCAATAATTGCGAAAGCTTTAGTGTCTTTTACCTTCTCTTCCTAAAACTATTTTATTTCTATCAAAGTTGCTTGGCCAGAGCGAGTTAATGATATTCATAAAAAAGTTGATCAGATTGATGATAGTTCTACACTACCTGATTCATATTCTACATTATTTGAGGTTTATAGAAACCCACAGACGATTTACGAAACTTCCATATATAAATTATTCCTTAGTTCTACTTGATGAAAAATGATCTGCATTACTCTACCACATAATGAAATAAACTACACAAATTTTAAAGAACAGCTACAACTTGGTGAAACAGATTCCACTCTAATATTTGATTACAGGCTTTACATTACGACCACAGATACTAAAAATACAACGGATATTGCACAACTTGACAAAGTAGTCCCCAAATTATTTGATGAGTTCGGAATATATACCACTTGATAAAACTTTATTAAAAACAGAGGTTGATGAAACATGATTTTACATTATCGGATATAATAGACTCTATTATTTTGTCCAGAGATTATGCACAGCTTGATAAAGCAGATTCGGTACTTATACCTTTGACCACCTGGAGTAAAAGATTCTTAAGCACTACTTGATACAATGGGTTCTACACTTGATGCAACTGATTCTAAGCTACTAATATATCATACATTTCTTGAATCAGGCTCTGTATCATTACCACTTAATGAAATAGGTTACCATACTTGATCTACACTAAATATAATAAAAATTAATTTGTGTTAGTATTGTGTTCATCTATTCCTTATATAGATTTGTTATTTTTGTTTTAAAATAATGTGCTTATTTACTTACTTGAAGGCTTTTTAAAACTATTATTATTGACCTATCATTTTTTTGAAATATTTATGTATTTTTTGTGTGATGCAAAAAATAAAATGAAATGAAAAAATTTAAATAAAAAAAAAAAAAAAATCAAATTTTTTTAAAATTTAAAAAAAGCTGGTGTGAGATTATTGGCAAAATAAATCGACTATACTGCATTATTATTATGTTGAGTGTGACTATATATTACAACCTTGATACAACTAAAAATAATTAAATAAAATAAAAAATAAAATTAAAAGATTATTAATATATGGTTAAATATTAAATAAAAATATAAATAAAGATAACATACCCAAGTTATGATTTCTACTATGAAGGAAAATGCAACAGGGTGATAGCTACCAATAAATTCACTAATTACACAGCTATTGAGATACTACTACTTAAAATATTGTTTGGACCACCATTTGACCGATTATTTGACCCAATTATTGAACCACTACTTGACTACCATTTGACCGGTTACTTGAACCAACATTTGAATTACAATGAAAATTACCACTTGAACCACCACTTGACCCATATGACCCATTATTTGAACCAACATTTGAACTTCGATGTAAACTACCACATGAACCACTATTTAACCAGTTACTTGAACCAACATTTAAAATACGACGCGAGTTAACACTTGAACCTCTAGTTGACCGGTTACTTGAACCAACATTTGAATTAAGATATGAAATACCACTTGGGCCACTACTTGCCTGATTACTTGGACTATTTGAACCACTATTTGAACCACACTTTACCGATTATTTGAATCACCATTTGGACCTTATATTGAATTTGCTATATGTTTTTAGATACGTTTGGACAATTGTTTCAGATGCTGCTTATAATTTTTCCAGATGACTAAAGATGATTATTAATATATGTTTTAAATTAATTTTTTAACAATAATGTTTTTTACATACCATTTTCTGTCTATAAATTATTGATTAGGTGTACTAATACCGAAATTTATTAGACCAATGCCAAAACATGCTATGACAATAGCGAAATCTATTTTATTAAAAAAATGAATTAATATATTATAAAAAAATTATATACAATAAAAAAAAATAGAAAATATAATTATTTACCTTAAATGTTTTAAATATTACCTTGAATTATTTTATATTTTGGACCATATTGTTATCTATACTATTTGACGTAAAGAACCATAGTGTTGCTCTGCATGGTGAGATAAAAAGATTACTCTATTTTTTTCAATTGATTTTGGAATAATTTCAATGAAAGAGCTGCTATCGGATTCAACTGAAGAAATTATGGTGATTTGAGATTTGAAAATCTCAGCAGCGGCGAGTAATGTTAAGTGGTCTCCCCATGTACCTCTTCTTGCCATTTGGCTACAATACTTATTCCAATTAGTAGTAACTGCAAATTGGGATAATTTTGCACCATTTGAAAGGACGAGGTTTTTATTTTTAATGAGCCATGTAGCAATAGCTCTTCTGATTTCGAAACTATGGTTCAAATCGCCATAAATTTGGTCAGACAAGGCATGCATCTGACAATTGCCATCACCTGGGATGTCCCTATTGTTCTCTAAACTGTAGAGCTCCAAACGTTCATTTAAACGTTGTACAGCTTCATCTGCAGGTGGTGGTTGTGGAGTATTGACTGCCCTAAAGTCAATATCCATAGCTTCATAATATTGAACTTTATGATCAATAGAATGTGTGCTTGGTGGTGATTGTGATTGTTGTTGTTGTTGTGGTAGTGGTTGTTGTTGTTGTGGTTCTTGATGTTGTTCTTCGTAATCACGAATATTTTGTAATAATTTTTTATAATGTGGGGTTGATGTGGTGTGTTTTGGCTGTGGTTGTTGATTTTGGAGTGAGGGTGGATGTGATTGTTGGAGTTGGTGTTGGTGTGGTTGCTGGTATGGGTTTGGATCAGGGTGTGCTTGTTGGTTGTAGATTGTTGATTGTTGGTGTTGGTGTGGTTGCTGGTATGGGTTTGGGTGTGGGTGTGCCTGTTGGTTGATTGTTGGTTGTTGGATTGGTAGTGATTGTTGGATTGGTAGTGATTGTGGTTGAGTATTTTGTTGTGGTGGATTATTTTGTTGTGGTGGGTTATTTTTTTTATGGAACTCTTTATAAAATTCGTCATCGTAGAAAAAGTCTTGGTCGTTCTCGGTTCCATCGGCGTAGTAGTATTTGGTGGTGTTATTTCTGGTTTTTTTAAAAAACCAATAAAAAATTAACAAAACAAAAAAACTAATTACAATAAAATACATTTTATATATATTTACAAAAAAAATAAAATATTATTATTTAAAAATTAAAATAAAAACAAATAACTGTTATTATTAATTTGATGATGAATATATATTTTTTTTTTTTTTTTTTTTAATTATATACGAAAAATAAAAAATAATATAATAAAATATTGATTATGCTATGAGTGAAGTTGGGTGAAATATATAAAAAAATAGTGTGGTTAAAGCTATTATTTTTAATTAAAAAAAAAAAAAAAAATTTATTACTAATTTTTTTTTTTAAAAATTAAATTATAAAAAAAATAAAAAAATATAATAAATTAAAAAAACAATATATTAAATAAAAAAAAAATAAAAAAAAAATATATAAATTTGAAAAAAATCATATAAATTGCGAACTTAACTTTTATATAGATTACCTTATAATCAGCAAAATATAGTAAAATATTCATTTTTATAAATAATTTTCAAATTTTATGAAATGGAGAATTGGACCATATTTATCAAAAAAAAAATTATAATGTAGAAAAATAAAATTATATAATTCTTTAATATAGAAATCAGATCCTAAAGTATTTAATAAAATAAAATAAAAAAATAAAAAAACAAAAATTTTTTATGTGTCCATGATAAATTAGGTTTACCCCAAATTGGTAATTTTGCAAATTTTATTGCCATCAAAGTTTCAAGTTCCCTGTTTATATCTCACATTTAATTTGGTATGTCACAGATATTTGCAAATAAATAATTGTTAAGAAACTCTAGACAATTGTTAAACTCTTGATAGATAAAGAGTATAAAAAATAATAATAAAGGTTACTTTAAAAAAAGTTTATTTACACTTATTTTATTTATTTTTTATTTATTTAATCTTTTATTTTTTCTTATATTTATTTATTTTTATTAAATAGTTTAATTTTTTTTTTATGAAATGTTTTAAATCTATATTATAATTAATTTATTTGGTTTATAGAAATATTGATTGGTCTAATTGTGCCTGGATCTTTTTTACCATTTAATGGAGGGTGAGGTTTTTCATAGTCTTTGATTGCTCCAATAGTTGATTTAAATTTATAAATTGTTGCTGTTGTTGTTTTGATGGTGAATGAACATTAAAGTTTAATGGACTTCTTGAAGTGGTGAGTTTTGATATTCCCTAATTTGATCAATAATTGCGAAAGTTTCAGTGTCTTTTACCTTCTCTTCCTAAAACTATTCTATTTCTATCACAGTTGCTTGGCCAGAGCGAGTTAATGATATTCATAAAAAAGTTGATTAGATTGATGGTGGTTCTACACTACCTGATTCATATTTTACATTATTTGAGGTTTATAGAAATCCACACGATTTACGAAACTTCCATATATAAATTATTCATTAGTTCCACTTGATGAAAAATGATCTGCATTACTCTACCACATAATGAAATAAACTACACAAATTTTAAAGAACAGCTACAACTTGGTGAAACAGATTCCACTCTAATATTTGATAACAGGGTTTGCATTATAACCACAGATACTAAAAATACAACGGATATTGCACAACTTGACAAAGTAGGTCCCAAATTATTAATGTATACAAATTATTAAAAAAAAAAAAAAAAAAAATTTTTAAAAATTTATAAAAAAAAATTTTATTTATAGAATTTTTTTAGATGAAAAATTTATTTATTAACAAAATGTTATATAGAAAAACAAATAAAAAAATAACAATAAAAAGAAAGATACTGAATTTTTCATAAAAAGTAAATTATTTAGTTATATCTATAGATATTTATTTATATGTGTATTTATTTATTTTTTTTAATGAAATATTTTTGATTGCATCTATTTGGCATAGGTTGAATAGTTGATGGACGATTTGAAAAATAATATACAAGAACTCCAATGATTGTTTTATGACTTTAAATTTGTTGATAATGAATTTGAAAGAATAGACAAGAACCCCAATGCTTGATCTCTGATTTATGAAAGCTTAGGCAAGAACCCCAAAATTTGTTTTGTGACCTATAATATTTTGATAATGAAAAAGAAAGAATGGACAAGAACCCCAATGTATACTTTGCAAACCTTTTGATGTTGAGAAAGAAAGATTCAGATTTTAAACTAAAAAATATTAAAATTAAATATTAGTATCTTTTTTTTTTTAAAAAAAAAATAATTATGAAAATATTAGCATAATAGTTACCTTAAGCGTACCCCATTGTAGACTTTAAATAGCGAGCACGTGTGGATAATGAAAGAGAAAGAATTTGACTAAATATGAAATAAATATTAGTTTCTTTTTTATTCAAATATAATAATAATTATGTAAATATTATCATTATAATTACCTTTAGAAGACTAATGAACGTGTTACCTGAAAAATGAAAAATTGGATTTAACCTAACAAAGAATTAAATTATATATTAGTAATTTTTATATTCAAATATAATAATAATTATCTAAATATTAATTAGGAATTGTTTTGTTATAATTGAATGTGGAACCTTTAGAATTTTTCTGTAAATTTGAGCTAATGTGATGTGTTATTTCCTATTAATGTTGATAAAGATGAATGTTTCTCGGATGTAGATGACTTTTCTTAATTCTATCAATTTCAATAATTGAAACATTGAATGAAACGATTTTATTAATAATTTAGTCTTCATCAAGTTCTATTGAATGAAACATTGAATAAAGAATTTAAACTATTAATTTAATCGCTATCATTTTCAATATTGATCGATATCTATATAATCATTGTCATCTTCATCTTTATCTTAATTAGGCCTATAAACGTTCGGCACTAGCTACTCTCTGCAATTAATTATAAATGAAATAAATTAATATATTTATTTTATTATGTATTAATATAAATTTAATGGATTACTTACTCTAACATCCCTAAATGGTTTTCTGCAGTTTGGACAGGTACGGAAACATTTTGACCATTCGAAAATACATTCATAACAAAATCTATGAACGCATTCAATAAATGCGAGTTCGCTGGCCTCTATTTCATTCATACAAATGGTGCATTTATCGTCCCTTTCTAAACGGTCCTTTTCCAATCTTTCTTGTTCCAATCTTTTTTGTAATTCTTTTTGAAGATTCTCTAATCTTTTTCTCTCTTCAATTTCTGATCTTTCTCTTTCTCTTTGTCTTTGGAGGCTACTTAATCTTGATCTTTGATTTTCTTCTTTTTCTTCTTTTTCTTTTTGGATTCTTTCTAAATTTATTCATTCAAATACCTCTTTTATTTCTTTTTCTCTTTGAAGAATTTGAGCTCTTTCAATATCTTCCCTTTCTTCGCTTTCTCTGTAAAGTTTTGATATTCTTTTAATATCTGCTGCTCTTTTAATTTGGTCCAATTTTATTTTTTCTTCTCTTTCTCTCTCTACTCTTACCCTTTCCATTTCAATTACTATTTGTCTATCTCTGTTTAAACTCTCTTCATCTTCGAGTTTAAGTTTTTTTGAAAATTCTCTATCACAAATTATTACATTATCTAATTCCAATGGTCTTTTCTTCATTGGACTATTGCCAGTTGATGTGGATGCAGAACTATTTATGGATACTGGCTTTCTAAATTTATTGGTTCTTGATAATGGTGATGGTGCAGAGACTGATGCAGATGGTGAAGAGGTAGAGGCTGGTGGTGCATAGGTAGAGGCAGAGGCAGATGATGCGGATACTGATGCAGATACAGATGATGCTGGTACAGATGATACTGATGGTACAGAGGCTGAGGCTGATGCAGATGGTGCATATGTATATGATGCTGATGATGCTGGTGCAAATAAAACAGATCCTGATGCAGATGGTGCTGATAAAGATGATGATGGTGCAGAGGATGCTGATACTGATGCTGATGCAGATGGTGTTGAAACAAATGCTGATACTGATGCTGATAATGATGCTGATGGTGCAGAGACTGAGGCAAAATGTGGTGTAGTTATATATTAATAAAGTTTAAACAATTATAATTATTTTACTTGATTATTTTATTATTTATTGTTTATTTTTTTATATTTATAGCTGCTCCATTATTCCAATTTCCCTTTATTTAATAATTTTTTTTTATATTTTTTATGAAAATAATGTTCTATTTGTTTTTTAATATTGCTCTATCTATAGTTTATACAATTAATATAGTTTTTTAATAATATCTTACATTTATAACATATTTTTTATATAGCTTTTATCAATCTTCTTTACAGAGAACAATTAGCACAATTATATTAAATTAAAAAATATATAACTGACTTTCATTATACTTTTTATTAACAATTATTTATTAGATATTTTTTATAATTATAATTTTTGAAATATTAAAAAATAGCTTTTATTAAATTAATAATAAAATTTAAAAATTAAAATTTTATTTTATTTTTTTAAAATTTTCACCCATTTTCTTCTTTATATAATGTACCTCACTTATTTTATATAATTTCATAGCAATACAATAAAACATTTTTTCACCATTTAATAATAAATATCAATCAATTTAAATTTACTAATTAAAATTTAATTTTTATTTTTTGTTTTTAAAATAAAATTTTTTTTTATGAATTTTTTTGACTATTACTTTTAATTTATTTTATACCATGTAATAACAAAAAAACGAAAAATATTAATTATTAATGTTTTTTTTAGAAGTAATCCATAAAAATAATATCTTGGATAATTTTTTTTTTTTTTATATTTTTTAATTTTTTTTTTTATTTTATTAAAATTGTTTTAAAATTTTATATCACATAAAGATTAATAATGAATTACATCATAATATTAGTAATTATAATTATTTCACTTTATATCTTTAAAGGAGTAAGTTTATAAATATCTTTTTTTTTATATTTAAATTTGTGTATTAATGTTTTTTTTTTTTAGAATGGGGATAGAAAAAGTAAAATTAATTCAAAAATACCTTCACCGTTTAAACTACCAATATTAGGGAATTTATTGTCGATGAGCGGTGATTTACATTTACAATTTGATAAATGGTATAGACAACTTGGTTCTATTTATAGAATAAAAGCAGGTTCAGTCGAGTGTGTGGTATTAACTGGATATCCTATACTTAGAAAAGCATTTGTGGAGCATTCAGAAGCATTTGCAAGTAGATATCGTTTGGCTAGTAAACTACAACTTAACGGATGTGAGGACATTGCATTTGAAAATAATCCAAGACATGCAATTTTAAAAAAGGTAACTCTATCAGAAATGACATCTGTTAAAATAAAGAGAATGGAAGATCACATTATTAAAGAAACTGAAAAACTTATTTCACTATTAGACAAGCACGCTGAAGATGGAAAGCCATTCCAAATCAATGGTTATTTGCATATGTTTTCATTAAATATTATTCTTAGATTTTTATTTGGTGTTGACTATCCATACGAACAGGTTAATCAATCTGCTGGTATTATCAAAACTGTTCAAGATTTCTTTATTGAAGCTGGCAAACCTATAGTAACCGATTTCCTTCCGTTCCTCAGCCAACCAGATCCAAAGAAACACCCATATTTCGTCTCTTATGCCAAGCTTGTAAAGGAAGTTGAAGACTTGATCGAAAAGGATCAAAAACAACGTGAACAAGATAAAAGCTCAAACGATGAACAAAACCAAACCATTCTTTCAAAGCTAATTAAAGAGTATGAACAAGGTAATATTACATGGAACGGTGTAACCAATACTGCTATTGATATAGTTGCTGCTGGTAGTGATACAAGTGCAAACACCATGATTTTCTGTTTAATTTCTTTAGCCAATAACCCAGATATTCAAAAGAAAGTTCATTATGGTATTTCATCATCACTTTCAGGAAGCAATGATATTGTTGCTACACACAGCAAATATCACTCATCCCTCCCATATCTATCAATGGTTATCAAAGAAACCTTTAGAAAATATCCAATTGCAGTACTAGGTATTCCACACGAACTTACCCAAGACGTAGAAATTGGAGGTTACGATATTGCAGCAGGTACTCTTATTTTCCAAAATATTTATTCATCGCACAGATCAGAAGAGTTCTTTGACCAACCATCAGAGTTTATTCCTGAAAGATTCCTCGAAACTACCAATTTAAATTATGGAAGTTCTACAAATCTTGTTCATTTTGGTGTCGGTGTTAGAGATTGTATTGGAAAATCGTTGGCTTCTGCTGAAATCTTTACATTATTAGCTACATTATTAAATCGTTATCAATTCATCAATCCAAATGATAAACCATTATGCGATATTGGTGTATTTGGTTTAGCTTATCAACCTCCTCTAACCAATTTAATAATCAAAAAAATTAAGTAACTTAAAAGAAAACAGCCAAACCTTATATTAATCAACAATGTTGACCAAAATATAGATTTTTATAAAAAATCCATCAGTGACGAAATTATTACAATAAAACGAAAATATATTTTTTTTAAATTTCTTTTTTTTTTTTATTTTTTTTTTTTAGAATTTAGGAAATTAATTTTTTTTTTTTTAATTTTTTTATTATTTCATTTAGAAATAGTTTTTTTTCTGGTATTAAAATGTCAAATTGGATAAAAGATCATAAATCACTAATTGCAACTGGTGTCTTATCAACAGCTGCCATTACTCTTTTATTAAAGTATATGAGCGGTCCATCTAAACAATTAAATAAATTTGGTGGTATTACTTTAGAAAAAATATTGGTATATCCAATTAAATCATGTGGACCAATTGAATTAAAGTCATGTAAATTATCACCATTTGGATTGGAAAATGACAGAAGATTTATGCTTATCAATAGAAAAGAGAATCGTTATGTTAACCAAAAAGTATACCCAATGATGTCCACTATCAAGTGCAAGTACAGTCAAGATGGTAAATACTTGATCGTTTCAAAAGAGGGATTGGAAGATTTAAGAATATCACTCGAGCCATTAGATGCTGCCGATATTGATCCATCACGTGTTTATAAAGAAGTTAAAATGTTTGATAATATTTCACAAGTTTACGATCAAGGTGATGAACAATCTGAATGGTTTGCCAAAGCATTAGGTAACCCAGATATTAGATTCACCCAAATGATGCCCGTTGGTGAATACAACAGAAATATTCGTGTCCACATGGCTGAAAGTATCGATGCTTCAAATATTGCTAGATTCAAAAACTCTCTATCCAATTCATGCCACATTATGTTCCTTTCACAAGCCACCATCGACGATGTTAATGTCAGAATTGAAAAAACTCGTAAAGAAAAAGGTGAAACATCCCAAGCCCCACTTACATGGGATAGATACAGACCAAATTTCGTTTTCAGTGGTTGCACTCCATATCAAGAGGACGATTGGAGCTCATATACCTTAGGTGGCGAAGTTGATTTCCAAGTAGCAGATTACAATGGTCGTTGTCCAATCGTTACTGTTCAACAAGATACTGGTGTTTTAGATCCATTTGGCGATGATGAACCTTTAAGAACTCTTCGTACCTATAGATTATCAAAATGTAAAGCTGGAGAAAAAACTCTTTTAGGTCAATATATCGTAGTCCACGAAAATATGATTGGTAAAACTGTTAACATTGGTGACCAATTAACTAATTTAAAAAATGGTTTTGAATCAAAATATTTTACAAAAGTTAATTTTGAAAAATAATCATGATTATTAATTCTAAATAAATAATAACAAATAAATAAAAATAATAAAAACAAACAATTAATATTAAAAATGCAACTTAAATAAAATAATAAGATAAATATATAATGTAATAACAATATCTAAATAACTAGTGCAACTTAAATAGAAAATAATAATTTTTTTTATAAATAGTTTTTTTTTTTTTTTAAATCAAACAAAAAAAAAGATTTGTGTGTAACTCTGCGAAATTTAAAAAATAAAAAAAGTTGTTGATTTTATAATTTTTTTTTATTTTTATAAAAAATTAATATAATAAATAATAGTTTTTTATCGTTTAAATAAATAAACTATAATTTGAACAAATAAATAAATTTAATTATATTAAATTTAAAATTAAATAAATAATTTATTGAACATACCCACTAATAACCCCACACCCACTCCTCGCCAAAATTTTTTTAAATATAAATGTTTTATTTAATTATTTTATTCATTGTTTATTTAATAGCTAGTTATATTAATTTTAAAGTAGGAAGTAAAAAGAAAATGAAAATATTTCAAGTAAGTTTTAAAATAATAATAATTGTTTTATATAAATTTATTTATACCTTTTATTTTTAACAATAGTTTTATTTATTTTTATTCCCTATTTTAAATGTAGGAATATTGTAATGACTTGGTTGAAAAAGAAGGTTTTTCATCAATTGGTGTTATTAATGATGATGGATGTACAATAGCACTATCAAAAGGATTTGAAATTACACCAGAAGAATTCAATGATATTAAATTTATTTTGATAAACGATAGACCTGATCATAATAAAGGAACTCTTACTGTTGGTCGTGTTACATATAACGATGTTAAAAGAACCTTTAACAATGAATACATTGCAACTGCTGCGGAAACTGGTTGTATAATTGCAAAAACTGTAAGTTTTTAAATTATTATTAATGTTATAGTTTTATTATTTTATAGTTTTCATTAATTATTCTTATTAACATTATAATATATAGATAAAATGTATTATAGTAGCAACTTTTGAACATTTGGATGAAGAAACTGCATGCAACCATATTAAACTATTTTCGAAATATATCGGAACAAATGGCTTTTAAATAATAAATATTAAATATTAAATAAATCCATTTATTTTTTAAGATATAACGTTAACTTTTATCTTAATTATTTATTGTTTTTTTTTATTAAATTCTTTGATTTATATTTTTCGAATTTTAATTTTTTTAAAAAAAAAAATTTCAACCTTTTGATTTTTTTTATTTTTTTTTTTTTTTGTTGATGTTTATCAATGGTAATTTCAAGTTTTATCGCTTTTTCTTAAACATTATTAAGTTTTTTGATTGATTGGTTATTATTATTAAAATATTAGCCATTTAAAAATAAATAAAAAAAAATAAAAAATAAAAAAAAATTTAAATTTAAATTTTTTTTTTATTTTTTTAATTTTATATTTTTCTTCTAAATTATCATAATGCTCAAAATTTTTTTTTTTTTTTAATGGCAATAAACAATATCTAATAACAAGATATACAATAAATTTAATGAATACCAACACTTTAATATGTGGAATAATAATATAAATAACAATGGTCATAATAGTAATAACAACAATATAAATAATTTAAATAATAATAGTAATAATAAAAATGGCAATAGCACACAATCCGCCGTAAATACGCCATTAAATTTAAAAACATACACCACCTCATCAATTAATGTTAGTGGTAGTAGTATTGTAAAAAAAACCCCAATTTTATACCCTGTAAATAATAATAATCACCAAAACAATGCAAAGCTACACAACAATCTTAAAAAACCTAAAACAAGCTTTTTAGATGAGGATCTAGATATCAATATTTTAGACGAATCTGATTTTTATGATCCAATTTTTAATAGCACCACAGTGATATCCCCAATCAAAAATGCAGATAAAAATCTCGAAAATCAATCTTATCCAACCACTACTCCTACCCTCTTAAATAGTAATAACCAAAATATAAATAGTATAATATATCCGACAGCTAATAATTTTACAGGCAGTGATCAAAAAAACAATAGCCCGGTAACAAATAAAACTACCACTACTACCACTACCACCACCACAACATCAACCACAAATAACTCAATAACAATTGAATTAAATAAAACAATAGATGTTGAAGATAGTGATTTTAGTTTTTTAGATGATGAAGATTTACAAGGTTTAGAATCACTCACACAAAGCAACGAAGCTGATAAAATAGTTAATAGCAATGATAATAACCAAAGTGATAATATAAATGAAAACAGTAGTATAGATATAAAAATGGAACTCAGTTTTGATAATAATATTAAAAAAGACTCTTCAACTGTAAATAATATACCGAAAGGCTTTTCTAATAATATTAATAATGATAAAGATTACAATAATAATAATGATGCTAACGAAATGGATCATAATATCTCAGGAACCAAAACAATTTTAAAAGACAATCTTACAAAACCAAATCTAGAAGAATCTTCATTTGAAGAAAATAGATTTCAACATTATTTAAAAAAGCATGAAAGAAATAGTAATAATAATAGTACTAAAAATAGCGATAATAATGATATAAAAAACAATAATAATGATGTCAATAATGAAATTAGTAATATAGGTAGTATCGATAATAGAGTATCACCCAATAGAACCACTACTACCACAACTGCATCCACCTCTATAAACAATAATATCCCAACATTACCTAATAAAAAAACAATATCACCAAATCTACATCCATCACCACCATTTCAAACACATCAACAACCACCACAAACTCTACCACTGCAACAATTTCAGCAATTTCAACAGTATTTACAATTTCAAAAACAGTTTCAACAATTTTTACAAAATGAAAGTGAATTTCAACAATTTTTACAATACCAACATCCTTTTCAAAATTTCCTCGCACAACAACAACAATACAAACTCTTTCAAAAAGACTATAAAGAATTTCAAGAGTATCAGGACCAAAAAAAGCAAGAATTAAAATCACCATTAAAAAGAGCACTGGCAAAAGATGGCGACGAGGATATAACATGCCCAATTTGTCTAGACTATTTTCATAAAGCGCCATCGGAACATCAAGCCGCTTCACTAAAATGTGGTCATATTTTTGGAAAAGAATGCATCGAAAAATCATTAAAGAATCAGCGTAGTTGCCCAATATGTAGAGTTAGTATAAAAGATAAAATACCTATTATAGCTTTATTTTTTCCTGATGGTGCCGCCACTATAGATCCAAATGAAGACGCTTTAAGATGCCGAGAATTAATCAAAAAGAATGAATATGAAATTAAAAATTTAAAGTTAAAAGTTGAAAGATATAAAGCAAAGTGTGAAAAAAATAATTTATCTAATATCGACAATAGTATATTTAACACAAGAAATAATAATAGTAATATTCAATTTAAAAACAACAATGTAAATATACTTCATCCAAATTATACAAACCCTTTCACAAATAACAAAGTAATAAATAGTACTGATAATAATATAAAGGCAAACAATATCAATAATAATAATAAAAACAATAATAACATTATTTGTAATCATAATAACATTTTTAATTCTATTAATAGTAACCATAATAATAATAATAATAATAATAATAATAATAATAATAATAATAATAATAATAATAATAATAATAATAATAATAATAATAATAATAATAATAATAATAACAACAATAATAATAATTGGGTTAGAGGTGAAACATTAATCGAAAATTTTGAAAATACTTTTTCACAAAAATCTAACCAACATAGAAAACAAAACAAAACAACCACCACTACCACCACTACTTCTTTTTCAAATCAGCAACAACCAATTAAATATGATAATTTAGTTAAATTTGAAGGACATACATTATATAAAAATTTAAAAGGATCAAGAGTATTTGATTTTTCAAATCAAAATGGTATCATTGTAGCATCGTCATCAAGAAATGGTAAAGACTATGGAATTACAAAATTATCATCAAAAGACTCTAGCAGTACAGATATGATACCAAATATTCATAAATCATTTATAAGAGATATTAAAATCAGTCCAATTGACCCAAAAATAGTTTGTACAGTATCCAACGATAAAACCATAAGATTAACAAATATAAATACAAAGAGTGAAGTATGTTCATACCGTTTGCATAGTGCAGGCTGGTGTTGCGAGTTTGATAGCGACAATGACTTTGTATTTTATGCAAGCGAATCAGAAGCAACCCATATTTTTGATTTAAGAAATATAAGGTAGGTCTATTTATATTTATATTTACATGAATAAAAAATAATAACTTTCAAATTTCTTATTCATTATTAGAACACCGATTCAAACTATTGAAATGTTAGGAGAAAAATCACCAGTTTTAAAATTACTTTATGTCTCTAAAAATGAAAGCTTAACACCACTATCGGGTGATACTCAATTTAAAGAAGGTGGTCTATTTATGTCGCATGGTAGTCTTAGTTTTTGGGATAAAGTTTCTATTTTAAACGATTCAAGTTTGTATAGTTTTAACAGCTATGATGTTTTTAAAGCAAATAGAGGCAATTTTGATCTTTTCACGCGTGAAACACCACTAAATAAACCATTCTTGCAATATAATAATGTTCCACTCACAGGACAATGCTTCAATATCAACTATGACCCAAAATCAAACTATTATATGGCATCATTTTTAAATACCCATTCATATCAAAAGAATTGTCATGTTGTTTTTAAGCATATGGGCAAGGGAGCAGTCCAAGAAGTTAGAACTATATACAGCGATACTCAACATCTATCATTCTCTAAACCATCACTATTCACATCAAATATAAACAATATGGTATTCATGGCAACACCAAACCAAAACTATGAAAATATTAATATTTGGAATATTAATAACGGCACATTATCTCAAACTATAATCAATGAAAATCCAATTTCAGATTTATTACACATAAACTATCAAAATGAAGAATATTTATTATCACTTTCAGATACCGAATTAAAAATTTTTAAAAATAATTTTGGTCAATAAATAATAATAAATAAAAAGATAGATATTAACTATATAAACCTAATAATAATAATAATAAGATAAACATATAATTTAATAAACTATTATTTCTACACCCTGTTTTCTTCTTTTTACAAAACTATATTAATTTTATTTTATTATATTTATATTTTAAATGGGTATTTTATTCTTGTAATTCACCAATATAATACTCTTCTAAAATTTGATTTACTTTAATTGGATGTTGTTCACCATTGAAACCTTCAGTGGAATCTTTACCAGCATTTCTCATAATTGCTAAACCACCCATATGTTTATCGACATAATCTGTAACATCATAAACCTATGTATAATTTTAAAAATATATTAGTATTAATTTTGGATTTTAAACTTGAATGAATCCAATATTACTTTTTTATTAATGATTAACCATAAATCATCTTCTTTATCATGAACTGAAACTTCTTCAGGGGTGTAATAAACTTTTGAACCGTCGGCTGGGGTTGGTTTACGACCTCTTTTTAAAATTTGCTTTTTAACAACAGTTGGTTTTTTAACCTCTGGTTCTGGTAAAATATAAGTTTTAACTGCAACTGCAATGATAATAAATACTACAATGTAAAGTAATGTGTTGGTATCCATCTTTTTATTTTTTTTAATATAACAATGAGCCAAATATTAAAAAAAAAAAAAAAAAAAAAAAAAAAAAAAAGATTTTTATAAAAAAAAAAAATTTAAAAAAAATAAAAAAAAAAAGTTTTTTTTTAAAAATTTTTAGTTTAGTTTTATTAATAAAACCTCATAGATGAATTAGGTTTTCTATTTTTATTTATTTTTTTTTTTTTATTATACAGAAGAGATAATTTGCATAGGATACAAAAATGTTGAGAAATTTCTTTCTATTTATTTCTTGATATTAATAACAACTTTTTTTGGGGTATGTTTTGGGGGTTGGGTGAGAGGATTTGGTAAATTTTTTTCATTACCGGTTGAATAGTTTTCCCATCTTCCTGTGTTTGATGACATTTTATTTAATAGTATTTGTTTAAAAATTTAAATAGATAAATAATAAAAATTGGTTTGATTTGATTTTTAAAAAGAATTGAAAAAAAAAAAAAAAAAAATTGGTTTGATTAAAATTAAAAATAATTAAAAATAAAATAGATTTTTATTTTAATAAAAATTTATTGTTATTTTATTATAACTAAAATTTGGTTGGCTTTAAATTTTTTTTTTTTTTCTATTAAACCCAATATTTCAAAACAATCAATTATTGAATATTATATGGCTCTTATTTAATATTATTGAATTATAGTTTTTCCATCATAGAGTTTTTTTTTTTCTTCATTTGTTTATTTTTATTTCTCTTTTCATAAGTGTAAACAAAAATTGATATAAAAACAGAAACTAAAACACTTTTCATTTACCAAAATAAAAATATAAATAATAAATAATGAATAAATAAATGAATAATAACAATTGTTTAAATGTTTTTTTTTAAATTTTAAAAAAAAAAAAAAAAATTAAAGTATTAATTATAAATTCATAATATACGTTATTTAATATTTTTTAATAATAAAATTTTATAAAATAAAGAATGGTTTCTTTGTTAAATGAAAAAAAAAACCAATATTTAATGTTATTTTTTATTAAACTATAATTTTTTATAATAAACACACCACACAACCACACATACACAAAAAATTTTATTTTTTTATAAACAGTTAGTGTATTCCTCCATTCTATTCCTCTAACTATTATTAATTTTATTATATTATATTAATATTTTTTAAAGTATTAATAAACATATAATCGTTTTATAATTACTATTATTTTATATTTTTAATTTTATTTTTATAATTTTAAAAAATAGTTTTTTTTTATTTATTTTTTTTTATATTAAATTTTTAAAAGAATTTTATTATTAAAAGATTTATATTAATAATTAATCATTTTTATAATAATGTTATATTACTCTAAACTGTCATTAGTCAGAATAAACATATTGTAATAATAGATTAAAAATTAATCAAAAACTAAAAAAAAACTAAAAAAAAAGAAATTTTCCCAAAAGGTTTTATTTTTAATTTTCAAAATTTTTTTTTTTTTATTTATCATAAATTTTTCGAATGAATTATTTGAATATTTTTTATCATTTTCAAAATAAAACATTAAAACAAATATTTGTTGTTTAAAATATAATAAAAAATTTGACACAATAAATCAAAAAACACTTCACTTTTTGACTTTTTACTCAATTTAGATTACAAAATTAAAAAAAAGTAAGCATTATTATAACCATACAATAAAAAAAGTCTCTATCATTTGAGACCCTTTTAATTATGGTGCTCTCGATCACACAAAATTGTGCACAGATATTTTTTTTTTTTTCCAATTTATTAATTTTATTTTTTTTAAAATTTTTTTTTTTAATTTTTTAAATTTAAAAACAATTTTCAAAAAAAAAAAATTCATATTATTTATATTTTTTAATATTTGTTATTAAATAAACCCACACCATGTCACACCCAAATTACCCACCACAAGGTATGAATTTTTTTCTATTTGTTTATCACAAAAATAATAATTATTAACTTTATTCAAAATAAAATATAATATTAGGCTACCCACCACAACAAGGATACCCACCACAACAAGGCTATCCACCACAACAAGGTTATCCACCACAACAAGGTTACCCACCACAACAAGGTATGATCATAGAGATATATTGATAAAATTGTATGATGAATCTAATTGATATTAATTTTTTCATTCTATTTAAACTTTAGGTTATCCACCACAACAAGGCTATCCACCACAACAAGGTTACCCACCACAACAAGGTTATCCACCACAACAAGGCTATCCACCACAACAAGGTATAATCACATAGAATTAAGATATAGATAAAAAAATAATACATATTAATTTTATAATTTTTATTATACATTAGGTTATCCACCACAAGGTTACCCACCACAACAAGGTTATCCACAACAACCAGGTTACCCAGCTCCACAACCAGGTTATCCAGCCGCTCCAGGTTATGGTGCTGCTCCAGTAGTTGTTGGTATTCCACTTGCAGGTTATGTTGATGGTTATTACTATGGTGGTATTTCTCATGATGCTCGTCATGATGCTGAAATCTTAAGAAAAGCCATGAAAGGTATTGGTACAAATGAATCTGATCTTATCAAAGTTCTTGCTAACAGATGTTGGGCCGAACGTGAACAAATTAAAAGAGAATTCTCTGCTAAATACAGCAAAGATTTAATCCATGAAGTTAAATCAGAAGTAAATATAAATTATAATATATATATATATAAATGGTTAGGGTATTAATATATCTTTTAATTTTTATAGGTTTCAGGTAACTTTGAAAAATGTTTAGTTGCTCTTTTAACTGAACCATGTGCTTATGATGTTGAACTTCTTCATAATGCCATGCAAGGTGCTGGTACAAATGAAAATTGTTTAATTGAAATTTTAGTCACTCGTTCAAATGCTCAAAAAGAAGCAATCAAAAGATTATATCATTCAAAACATGGTAAATCATTAAAGAATCGTATGGAATCTGAAGCTTCTGGCGACTTTAAACGTTTCCTCGAACATATTATCGAACCAAGAGATGAAAACCCAGCTGTCAATCCAGGTCTCGTTGCCACCGATGCTGAGGTTTTATACAAAGCTGGTGAAGGTAAAATTGGTACTGATGAAAAGACTTTCATTAAAATCCTTTGTGAACGTTCATTACCACATATTGCCGCTGTTTCTCACGAATACGTCAAACACCACAAGAAACACACTCTCATCAAAGCCATCGACTCTGAATTTAGTGGTTCAATTAAAACTGCTCTTTTAGCCATTGTAAACTATGCTCTTAATCCATTCGGTTACTTTGCTGATATCCTCAAGAACTCAACTAAAGGTGCTGGTACAAATGATAATAAACTTATTCGTACTATTGTTACCCAAATGCATAATATGCCACAAATTAAAGTTGCTTACAGTAACTTATTCAAAAACTCACTCACCCACGATATTTCAAATGATACTTCAGGTGATTACAAAAAACTTTTATTAGATATCTGTAATTAAAAAAAATAAAAATTTTTTTATTGTTGTAAAATATAATAAAATAAAATAAAATAAAATAAAATAAAATAATGTTAAATTAAAAAAAATTGTGTATTGTTATAAAAATAAACAAGATTTATTCACTATAAACATTCTATTTTTAAAAGAATAGAAAATCAATTTTAAATATTTTCACGATTTTATTTGAAAAATTTTTTATGGAAATGGAACCTAATTTACATGTAATGAATCGACAGTCTATATCTTTAAGTAAAAATGTATTTTATAACTGCTTTTTAATAACTGCCAATTCCAGTATTTTGTAACTGCTTTTTAAATAATAACTACCAATGCCAGTATTTCAACTACTTAAGAATTAGCTTCTAGAACTAATATCATTCAGTATAAATACATCAAGTCCTCAGTCTAAAACTTTAGAGTTTCTTAGTTAGTTTATTTTAGTTAGTTATATATATATGTTTAAACAAGTAATAAAGATAAATAATAAATAAAGTATATTTCAGTGTTCTCATAATTGTTTTAAGTGTTTTTAAGTAATTTAAGTGTTTTAGTGTTTATTATTTAGTTTGTGTTAATATATTTTATTGCGTCTCCATAAGTGTTTATTTTAGAGTTTATTATATTTTCGTTAAGTATTTTAGTTGTGTAACTTAGTCATAATCATATACCTTTTCATTACATACAAAATCATCACAAGCTCGATTAGCTCAGTCGGCAGAGCGTGGTGCTAATAACGCCACGGTCGCAGGTTCGATCCCTGCATCGAGCAATTTTTTTGATTTAGGGGATATCTTCCCAGAGATAATTAAAATAAATTTGATTTTAAAGGATGTAATGTATTATCTTCAAAATTCAATTAATTAATTCAAAAACACAAGGAAATGTTAGTGAGATATTTTTGAAGTATAAGTTATTATAGTTTAAGAGGTTATATTCATTACTTCGGGAAGGGGCCTCAATTGGTCACTAGACATAACAAGATCAAGAAGGAATATATCAATAAAAAATATTACATACAAAATCCCAGAAGGTCGCAAATCCGATGGAGAAATAAATATGGATTACAACAACACCAGATTCCACAAATCACACTTCCAATGGAACTATAAAGCAATAGATTTCGACTTAACTAGATGTTTCGCTTATAGAAATGCCATAGCCCTGGTATTTCATCAAGTTTGGATTTGGTTATGTAAAGAATTATATGACGATCAAGAAAATACAATAAAAGAACTCGATTATAAGAATCTAACCTCAAAATGGACTAAACTAGCTACTTTAGAATACTTAAAAGGTTTAAAAAACATCAAGGAAAGACACGCTAAACAACCACAAACAATTAGCAACATCAATGAAGAATATAGAAAATTCAAAAGAAGAATAGCAAGAGCATACTTCATCAGCATCAAATCTTTACCAAATATCAACAGTTTAGAATATTTTCTTTAAAAACATTACAAAAAACATTAAATAAAATTTACTGATTAATTTAAAGCATTTGCTTTTTTTATTATCTTCACTTTTAAAAAAAAAAAAAAAAAAAAAAAAAAAAAGAAATGTTAGCCAAATATCCACACCAATCAAAAACACTCCGTACCAATCAGGAAGTCCGAAATCACCTGCTATTAACAAAAATCTAAGAAAAAAAAAACTTCTCAAACTAGATAGGTTGTTTCAACCTTACCCCAACACCCACTTCTTCTTATTTTTTAATATAAATAAACAATGTCGCTTACACTAATAATATTTATTATATTATTAAGTAAGCTTTTTTAAAAAAAAAAAAAAAAAAAAAAAAAAAAAAACACAAGGAAAAAAACACGCTAAACAACCACAAACAATTAGCAACATCAATGAAGAATATAGAAAATTCAAAAGAAGAATATTAATAATTTTATTTATTTTATATTCACAATGGATGAGCTACTATCATCTCTAATTAAATTTCGCATAAATAAAGAATTAAAAAAAAAGTTGTAATATTAGTGATAGGTACAATACAATAAATAATAGCTGATTAATTAAAAACATATTAATTGGTGTTTTCTCTTTTTAACCAAGTAGTTCTACCAGGGTACTAGAAATACCTCAACTCTATTTAAAATTTTAAATTAAATAAATAAAACAAACAAAATTATTATTTTTTTATTTTAAAAAAAATTATCATTTATTTATTTCTTTTTTTTTTTATTTTTTTTTTATTTTAAATTAATAATTTTTTTTCAAAATTTTAAATTAAAATTTTTTTTTTTTTTAAATAATGGACCACCTGTATATTTTTAATAAAGATAAAACCATAGTATCCTTTTATTCCAGCGATAAAGAATGGACAATAAAATTAGGACCAAATGACTATTATGCAGCACCTGTCTTTATGAGGGGTTGCTTTTATTTTAGGGGTGGAATAAATATAGATAGATTTGCAGATGCATTAGCTGAATCATTTAAAGATTTTGATATGTTGTTGGGAACATTAAGTATGAGCAAAGAAGGGGATATTTTTGTAAACTATGAAAATAATAAATTAAATCAAGTTTTAGAAATCGAAGATAGAACTACGGAATCCTCAATTAACAATAATCAAAATGTAATCGATCATCTACCAAATAAAATAATTACTGCAGAACAACAATCTGGTGCTGCCATTGATCTAAGTGGAATGAAAATGTCAGCTTTTAAAATAAAAGTGTTTAATGATGGCTTTTTTATTGGGTACAACATTAACCATTCAATGTTAGATTTAACTGGAGTTGCATATTATTTTAAATACCTATCGCAGATTTATACTTTGGGCAACAGGGAAAAAATTAATTTAAAGAAACCACAATATTTAGGAACTTTTAAAACAAACAACATCCAATTCAAAGATAAAGACGAGGCAGATCAATATGCAAATAAAATGGGCTTTTATTTCATTCCACCAAATAACAATAGCAATAATATGTTTTCACAAAACAATATACTAAAGATAGAGTTTAATACCACCAAATTAGATATACTAAAGAGCACATCAGACCTATCATTATCAAAGAACGATGTTATTACCGCTGCCATTTGCAAAGTATTTACTTTTACATCCAATTTAAAAGATGATGATATATTTACTTTAAAATATATGTGCAACATAAGAAAACTCGCAGGCTTGGGTGAAGAGGCATTGGGTAATCTTTATATATACAAAGGAATTCCGTTGAAGGTATCAGATATAAGGAAGAAGTCTCTAGTTGAACTTGCAGGAATCAATCGTAAAAGTGTATCAGAAATTACATATGAACAATTCAAGAATGATTTATGTTGGTTCAAATATATACAGGATGAAAAGATAGATACCTTTGGATATTTTATACCATCAATAAAATATACACTTCTTTCAAATTGGAACCAATATGACTATGATCAAATCAAGTTCGACAATGCTACACCTCACTCGCTTGCACCTGTTTGTATTGCTGATGCGGGAACCAATTTCATATCATTCAACACCAACGAAAACAATGAAAAAACTATCATCACTACCGTTTCAATTCCACCTAATAGTATCAAAGAAATAGTTGAGTTTGGTGTTAATACAAGTCTATATAGAGTTATTAACTAAAATTATAAATTTAAATCTCATTCAAAATAAAAATAAATCCTTGATATAATAATAAATTAATTAATTTATTGTTTTTTGTCATAAACTACTAAAACACATTTTGATGGGCAACATGCACCAGGAGCGGTATAAGCTACATAGCCTGGAGCACAACCTAATAATGGACATTGGTAATATGGGTCACAGATACATTTTGATGGGCAACAATCACCTGGAGCTGTATATTGCATATAACCTGGAGCACAACCTAATAATGGACATGGTGTTGTTGGATCACAAACACATTTACTTGGGCAACAATCACCTGGGGCAGTGTATGGGATGTATCCTGGAGCGCAACCAATTAATGGACATGGGTATGTTGCATTACAAACACATTTTGAAGGACAGCATTCCCCAGGTGCAGTGTATGGTTCATAACCTGGTGCACAACCTATTAATGGACATGGAGTTTGGGGATCACAATCTTTTACACATTGAGAAGGACAACAATCACCTGGAACAGTATATTGAATATAACCTGGAGGACAACCTAATAATGGACATGGGTATGATGGATCACAAACACATTTTGATGGGCAGCAGTCACCTGGAGCAGTATATTGAATATAACCTGGAGCACAACCTAACAATGGACATGGGAATGTAGCATTACAAACACATTTTGTTGGGCAACATTGACCTGGCGGGGTATATGGAACATATCCTGGTTCACAACCTAATAATGGACAAACAGTTGATGGGTCACATACACAGGTTGTTGGACAACATTCACCGGGTGGTATATATTGAATAAATCCTGGATCACATGGAATTACTGGACATTCTACACCAATGCAATTTGGTTCCCCTGGAGGATCGGTATTTGGAGGATAAGTAGTTGGTGGATAAGTAGTTGGTGGATCTGTAAGTATTGGTGTTGTAGTTATTGGCTCTGCCGAAAAAGCGATGTGATTTACTATTGATAATAGGAAACACACCATTAATAAAATTGCTGATATTTTATACATTATTTTTTTTTATTATAACATATTAAATTATAATAATAACTTTTAAAAATATATATAAATAAATAAATAAAATAAATAAATAAATAAATAAATAAATAAATAATTAGTTAACTAATAATTTTTTTTAGATTTCATTTTATACTTTTTTTTTATTAAAAAAAAAAAAAAAAAAATTTCATATTTATATTTCAAAAGTAGAAACCTATATGAAATTAATTTTTCAATTTTTTTAGTAAGAGTTAATTAATGGGGTTACCCATATATTTTGAATTTTTATTTTTACTTTTTTTTTTTTTTTTTTTGGAATAAATCGAATCTTCTCACCCCCATTACCTATAATTACTATTAAAAATTTTAAAAATCATATTTAATAGAATGGATATATTTTATATTTACTATTTAAATCATATATAAAAAACTATTACTGTTGATTTTATAAAAAAAAAAAATAAAAAAAAAAAATAAAAAATTTTTTATAATGAATTAATATAGATTTTATTAATTATTATTTTCATTAACATATACATAAACAATTGGATTGATATGAATTCTTGGGTACTCAATCTTAATCTTTTCTTGACGATTCCAATCACCTTTAAAATATTTGAATGTAAGGTTTCCATATCTATTGCTTAAAGAACTGCAAAATTCGTTCATATGTTTAGGGCACTAATATTTTAAAAAAAAATTAATATTTAAACTTTAAAAATAAATATATTTTATATAATTAATACATACTGAATAATATCTACAAAATGCAGAAACACAATAGAATATAAAGAATACCATTGTCATACTTATTGGAACCAAAAATTGTGGGGATAATCCATCATCACCAGAATTAATAAATAAAGCGGCTATAAATAATGAAAACACCATTAATACTGAAGTGAAAATAATTAATCTGTCATAAATGAAAAATTCTCTTTCGTAAAAATGGTTAATTTCACCTAAAATACAATATAACCTTGAAGCTGGAATAATGCTTGGAGGAATAACGGACTCTAAAGCTGTATCACTTGCAAATAAACCATCTTTTCTTTTTTTTAAAGTAATTTTATCCTTTATGAATGGGTCCAAGATATTTATTAAATGATGTGGTTGTTGTTGGGTTGTTTGAAAGGTATTATTTTGTTGTAGGGGTTGTTTAAAACCACTATTGTTTGGGAGGTTTTGTGTGGGGAGTGGGTCATAAGGATGGGGTGGTGGTGAATTTTGTTGTGCTGCCATATATTGCTGTTGATAGAATTCTTGCAATTGCGGTTTTATAATAAAATTCATATTATCATTTCTATATGGTATATCATTAGTAGTGAATATATATGATTTTTCGCCTACTTCATTTTTACCTATTTTATTATCCATTAAAAAAAATAAATAACTATATTATGTACTTTAAAAATAATTAGAGTATGTGTTGGGAAAATATTATTATTATTATTATTATTATTATTAATTAATTATTATAATTATTGAATATGATATATTAAACACAATGAAAAATTAATAAATATTTAAAAAAAAATTAAAAAAAAAATAATTAAATGAAAAAACAATAACATAAAATAAAATTGAAAAAAAAAAATAAAAATTTAAAAAGAGTTAAACATGTTTGTTGGAATTTCATTTTAAAAATAAATCTATAAAAACACAAAAATGGTATATAATAATTATTAAAAAATAATAATTTGAAAAAAAAAAAAAATTTATTAAAAAATTAAAATTTTTTTAATTTAATTAAAATAAAAAAATTATAGTTTTTAATTTTATTAAAAAACAATAAAGCTGTCAAGTTTTATTTTAAATAAATAATTAACAAAAGCTTTAGTTTATTATTTTTATTTTTTTGGGAGGATATTATTATAATTATTATTTAATTAAATTCTAATTAAATATACAATTAATAATATTTATAATTTTGTTTTAAACATAAAAACCATCATCACCTTCTATATAAGGATTTTCAATTTTTTTTCTAATAAGTGACTCTTGTGCAATTTGGTCGTTATCATCTACATAGTTTAAATTTTTTTTGGGTTCTATTAATATTATTTGATTATGTTGAATGACTCTTGGATAAAAAAATGTAATTTTTGTTTTTTGCTTTTCTTTTTAAAACCATTTCTAAAACTAATTGAATATGGAGTTGTTTTATATGAGACTACTATATCTATATATTCATTATTACTATATTTTTTTGTTACTATTTCAAAAAATTCTTTATTTTTTATGTTGTTCTGTTAAAAAAAAATAAAAAAAATAAAAAAATTAATATTAAAAAAAAAAAAAAAAAAAATAACTAACCCCACCCACACCCCCATACACTCTTTAAAAAAAAATAAATATAATACATTACCTTTTTATTTTTTTTTAAACTTAATACTATTAAAAACAAAACTAAACTAAATGTACAACCAAACAAAACATAAGATATGGTTTTATCGGCCATTATAATAAGATGAGTAAGGGAGATCCCAAAACACAATATGGTAATGATTGAAAAAATTATTGAAATTTTATCGGAAATACTATTGTTGGTTTGATTAGATATATAAATATTTAGTTCTCTAATAAAATTCCTAAAATCTTCTTTTTCAATCCATGGAATTAATTCTTTGGGAAAAACCAAATCAAATGGTTTCTTATTTAATTTTTTTAATACTAAAAAATCTTTTTTTTTTTCTTGAATAATTATTTTATTACTTAGTTTATCAATGTTTATTATTTCAATCTTGTTTTCATTATTACTATTATCATCATTACTATTATTATTATTATTATTATTATTATTATTATTATTATTATTATTATTATTATTATTATTATTATTATTATTATTATTATTATTATTATCTATTGTTTTATCTGCATCATTATTTGTTATGATTGTTGTAGTTGAATTATTAATTTCATTTAATAAAATACCATTATCCTCTATCATTATTTA